AAGAGGAATGCTGGTCTACAGTATGAGGTGCAGACAGATGTACTTGCACATAGCAGACTGCCGTTCACATTTTCAATTGCAGATCACAGTGAACACTGCTTGGGATATTCATGTTACAAGGGCCAATACTAATTGGCTAGCAATACTTGCAGTTCCTATTTCAGCAGCAGCGACTCATTAAGCAGCACTGAGAACCTCCACACACATTCAAAAAGCACTGACACCTCTAAATCTCAAGGGGCTTCCACAGTACCTGTTCACAAGCCAAGAAAGCAATGCACTTTGCTTCATTTAATGCAACAGCTGAAATTAAAAGAATTCAGACTGCACCTACAATTTTGTTACTAGCAAGCATCCTGCAGACACTGATGGGACAGTCTGGGACTATAAACAGACTGTTTAACAGAGGTCTTCTGGTGCTTTGTTACAGTCTTCAGCACGCAATTCCTAACAGTGGTGCTTCTGCCTTACGAAATCAAAAATCCCTTCTCATCACTTTGCTTGAGTTTTAAGCGAATACTGAAGGCTTTTTGCTCATTATCTTTTCTGGTAGAATTTAGCTTTTTCCTCTATGCAAGACAAGTCTCTGAACTGATGATTTTCTGTATATCAGGATACACCTTCTGGAACCTCCTTAATAGATCAAGCCACCAAATTCTGTCCTGATGAGCAGCTTTTCAACAAGACTTACGGATTCAAGATCCATTAAAAAGCATACAAGTAGAATTTTGCCCTTCCTGACTGCTGGTCTGCCCCTGACCTCCCGCTCAAGCCACATGCCAAGGCTGAACTTGGAATCCTGATTCAGAGCTAAGTCAGACTTGCACCAGGATGCACTACCAGGGCTCAAATGAAAGAATATTACATAGAGCAACAGTTACAACACCAACTGAAATGTACTTAAAGTTTTGAGACAATGTCCTTGACATTATTTCAGCACTTTTGTGCTTCCTGGATCAAGAGCCCAGAAGTTCCAACTACTTCTGCATCAACATTAACACATGGAACAAGTGAGGTGCTCAAATCACTTAACTGGAAATTTTTATTGCATACACTGGAAGAAAGTTTCCGCACAGTACTCATACATTCAGTACAAGACACTGAGGTCAGAGCAGACTCCAGTATTAATAAGAAACATCAAGGAATCGTATTTACACTTTAAGCAAAATATACCAGTCTCCACCTAATATATATTTGGAAAAGTATCCATGCTGTTAGTTCGGCAGTCTCAGAAGTATTGACACAGCATTCAAACCCCTATCATTGCACCCCATCTGTATTCCTGTATTTTTACAAGGCAACAGGCAAGTTTGTTTTCAAACTATACAATAAAGACTTCTGAGTCACCTCCCCCACCATTCAGGTAGTCACATAAATCAAACTTAGTAATAAAGAGTTATGGTTTAAGTAATCACATAAACTCAGGCAGCAAAAGAAACATTTCCAATCAAAGCCACCATACAAGCTGGCATTTCTGCTAAACAGTTATTTTCACACTGAGCTGATCTGCTACGTAATAAGCACAGAAATAACCATAATCACTCACGCTGAACCAGGCCAACGTGGAAGAGTTAAAGGTTGGAAACATTAATGATCCATTACCATTTTGTGTTTCACACCTGAATTAGAAGTAAAAGTCAGCATCTTAAAGAAGTGCAAAGAAAGCCTTTTCTACAGCACATTGGAAGAAAGGGAAAAGAGCTGGCTGGGGTCTCTGTAGAAGCCTGACTACTGTCTCACACTGTCTGTAGCCAGGGATGTCTTAGGCTTATAACAGCTGTTAGTAGACTTCAATCCCCAAATGTAGAATGCCTGAGAGTAGATTTTAATTATTACCTTGAAGTGGCATAGAGCTGTTTACAGAGTGGCTGGAAGTTTTCAGGACATGAATGTTTCATTTCTTACTAAGCTTAAAGTACAGAAAGGCTCCTATTAAACAGACACATTTGAGTTACATACAGCAAACAAGTCAAAACAGGTACTAGTTACCTTTCATGAAAGCAAACATACTTAATACCACAACTACAGCTGTATTGGACAAAGTAATTATACTTGTTTTGTTTTTCACATATTTCAAAGCTTCTAAAATGCTCCAGCTGAAAACAGATCATCATTTAGGTTTCATTAAATGGTCCAAAGACTTAAACATACACGTTTTCCAAGTGAACACTGTAGGGATGAAAACAGCTTCTAATGCAGGTAAGACAGATAGGTTCCTACAGAAGGCATCACTGCTGCCGCAGCGTAATAAAGAATAGCAACATCCATACGTACACACACGTAAAGGACCAAGATAAATCCAGCCTACAGCACAAGTTTTACAGCACTAAATTTTGAAATCGTTTGTGACAAAGCTCGAAGAGAACAAAAAAAACCCATGTAGCTATTGCTCTACAAATTCTTGTAATATCACTTATTTACACCAGAAAGCTTGCAGAAAGACAAAACTTCTTCCACACCCTCACACTTCAAGACTTTTGGAAGCATTAGTGCCATGTTGCCATCCACAGCTTTTGTAATAGCTGTATATACTATTTCGAAGTGGTATTAGGGAATTATCAATTTTCTTTAAGTCGTCCAAAATTTAAAAAAAAAAATGGTACTAATCACTTTTTCCTTCCGCTCCCACAAACATCAGGAATTCACTTTTAACAGTGCCTCTCTCCCCTAAAAAAGTTGAAAAGCTCCAGATGCTTAGAACATCTTAAACAAAAAGCTACACCACTCAGCTACCTTCCTCCACCCTCTGCATCTCCATATCTTGCTGTATTCTGCTTAGTTTTGAGCAAGCTATTTCATGCTATCCCTTACTTCGGAAAGCTTCCTATGAACATTCACAAATTCACACTGTTGTTCAGAGAATCCTTGATGACTACCAAAAAGGTGACACTCAGAAATTACATGATTTACAACAGTCTGGTTTATTATCTCCTTCAGTTTAGTTTTCCATAACCCCTCAGGTACAGGTTTTTATCTGCTTACACAGTGCGCTGCCGTACACTAATGCTTCCTATGGAGACAATACACCTTCAAATCCAATGACACCGAGAAATCCAGAAGCTGAACACAGTAAGAAAGTTGAAGGGCAATACAGAACTGCTGTTCCTCAAGAGAAACACCAATACGCATAAGCAAGTGAGTAAATAAACCACCACTCGTACTCCATACAAGGCACCCTTACTCAAGTACTATGAGATCAAGTCACCTTTGTCTTGATTCCCACTGGACTGAGTGGAGAAAGCTAATCCAGAGGATGGAGAAAGCACAGCCAAACCTGGTCACCCCTTTAAAAGAAGTCAAAGTTTTCTTACTAAGCAGCAGCAAGTTACTGTAAAGTAAACTTGGTTTCCAAGTGACACTAAGGAGGTAAGATGCCTAATCAGGTAATGCAAACGTCTACTTCCCCACCACACTACCTGCATTTTGTCTTGTCCCTCGCAAACCCATATTCCTCACGACTCAAGTTGCCCTTGTCAGGAGGCAAGGCTGCAAAAAACTACTGAAAAACTTAACAGTTACCAGGGAATAGCTTCCTGGCAGCAAGATGGACATAACAGCTCTCAGATCACTATCACAAAACAGTTCCTGGTAGCAGAGTCACACACTAATTTTGAAAAAGATCAAGCCAGATCAGAACAGAATCCTTTTACAAAAACCTAAACTACAGATTCTGCAAACCCTGTATTCCCTGCTTTCCTTTCTGTTAAGCAGGAGAAGCACATGTAGTCTATCCACAGAAAATGGTCAAACTCAGCTCATCATTAGTTAGGGAAAAATAAAAAAAGTAAGAAAACATCCAATGTTGCTGTCCACATAGAAAAAGCAACACACTAAGAAAAACTGTAATTTTAACTGCTTCTAAACCATAGACTTTCCCCGACAAGTATATAATAAGCCAAAGTTGAGGCAAAATACTGTATAAATAAGTTGCTGCACTACCCAGAACACCAGAATCGTTCCAGAGGATATTCTTAAAACTGCCCTTGATAATACACACAATAAACCAACTAATGTAAATTA